ATTATATATATATATATATATGTACTGCAGTGGGGAGTACACTCTACTCTTTCTGTCCACGTTACAGGTGTAAAGATGTCTTAATCCAGAAAGCTGCAAGGCACGTCGACTGCTGCCCGTGTACTTAGTTGAACGTAACTTGTACATTTCAAGCATTCCAAATGCGTCGAGCAAATACGCCCGACAGGCCAACTCCCAGTAGCAATGCGGTGTGCGCAAGAAATGTTTGCGAATGCCCGCCAATAAAGCTCAGATGAATGGGGTGTAATTGAACCCCTTTCAGATAGGTTACTCTAGGTACGAATAAGAATGGTCCTGTCAATTAAATATGCTGACCGCGTGTACGTGGGGGCATCTAAACCCCTGCGATGGAGGTCGGCTGGCAGTTTGAGCAAAGAAGTTGCGAGCTCCCTCCTATGTATATGCGCATATATACGTGAATACGTAATATATGCATATACATCAGCTTAGGGAGATATATAGATATGTACCATATGTACTTACAAACACGCAATGAACATACAAGTGGTCCATTAAAGCCGTCGTATTTGCCAAGATCCAACATTACACCTCAGTTTCAAGCACTATATTTCGTTTGTGCCTTTCCCATGGCCAGTAACAGAAGCAACAGTTCCCTCTGCTGCGGACTTGAGCTTCCCTCAACCATTTACTTCTTGTGAGCCTCAGACAGAAGATTGTCCAGTCCAAACGGATCCGCCACGTCCTGCGGCAGAATAACAGTCCATAAAAAACCCCAAGTCAACATCAACCCACGGGCAACAAACAACATGCGGCGGAGAACGAAGAACCGCCAGACAACAAATTCAAATACAGAGGAATCACTAATCAAAAGCAAGTGCACAACCGCACAAGAAAAAGCAATACACTCGTGAGAAAAATAGGTGCAGACTGATGAAACCAAACAGGCAAGCTCCCCGTATAGCATCGCTGAGCGGGTCCTAAAAAGTGTTTTAATTCTGTCCCACTTCCCTTTCTCCCCCTTTTCTTACCTTTTCGAATTCCACTGGGCCCGTCCTTGTGTACCTCGTTTTATCGGCACCGGCAAATGATGCCAATTCTGAATTTTCTCTGAGAGCAATCCAACAGAAAAATAACAAAAGAAACTTCCATTTCCATCCTACGCGCAGTGCATCCCTCCGTCTATCGGTACTATGCCCGTACAATACACAGTGGCTACAAACACGGCAAATATTATACACAGAGGCATTCGCAGACATACATGACCTCAAAACACAATTCCATGTTGCTATAAACACCCAGGCCAGTCGCATTGTGATAGGTGTATTGGCGGAAATACGCAGGGTTAAACAATTGGTATTATTCTACTTACCCAACGGAGCTTGCAAACCTGTCGCGGCTAAACTGATAAATTCCTGCACCTCCACGCTGGGCAAATAGGGGACGATCATACAAGTTGTACGTATCGTCTTCTCCCCCTTTGTATCCCTAAGCCAAAGACCAAACATCCTCATGACGACAGTAAATAGCTGCCCCAAATCCTCGGGACCAAAGCAACTATTCAATATGAATACGGTAATAATGCACCAACAGGGCAATCGAAACATATGGTACACAGACGTAGAAGGCAACACGAAGGACATAAAAACACTATCCGCCTGCGCGGCCGGTTCCCTTAGCGGCGCAACAACAAGTAGCAGCAGCATGTGAAACAGCTGACGACAGAACATCACGATAGTTGAACCGTGGAGGTACAAGTACTCCCCAACCCTACACCAGATAGCACAGGCGGCAGCTATAGGGAAGAGAAACAAAAGAAGGCTCAAACCGATGCCCAGGGAGAAAAACAAGACTGGAGAATAACCAGAAAAAGGTGCGGTGCATCAACACACTGCCGCAACAACACAGAGCTGCAATAAACACGAATACACGCAAAAGGACACAATAAAGTGGCCTAGCAGGATCTAAAAGACACACCGAATCCGTCCCTCCTCCTTGGTTGAATAGACGCGCATCAAACATCGAGTCCGTGCGTTGTTTCTTCGCATCCACCGGTAGACCCAAGGCAACCAATTCACTGATGTCTCTTTGCGAGTCATCCCTTCGTTTGCCCCTGCTTCTCTGTACACAGAAACAACAGATACACATCGCGAGCATGACAGAAGCAGCACGCACACAACCGACAGACAGAATGGGACAACGGCACCACCAAAACACTGTTTAGACTCCCGTGCGTGTACTTGCAGGTGGTATATAGCCCGTACAAGACTATATGCCACCAGCAAAGGGCAAACAGCATACTAAACAGGACACAGCTCAGAGAAAGGCTTCTTGGTCAGCGGCTCAATCCGGAAGCAAGGACATGCAGCTGTAAGTCAAACATAATCCAAGAAGACAGAAAAAACGGGGAGCCAGCTCATGTTCTTACCTCAAGGCGAACTGCACGTTCAACGTCTTTCTCTCTTTCTCTAGCCAACTGTTCGCGTTGCTGTCTCTCCGCCTCCTCTTCGGCATCTGCCCCAGCAGCGCGCCTCGACTGCTGCAGCAACTGGGCTCTGGAGACACCGCCACACACAGAAACGCTGAACCTCCAGCCCTGCGCCCCTTTACTGCTGATTCCTTTACTGCTGGATATCTATATGAGCAGCAAACGGCTAACACCCCCCCTACGGACAAGGAGGAAAAAAGCCAACCCATTTGTTACTAGTAGTAAACACCACACTCCCCTACAGGCCTCAGTCGTAGACCTAGAAGCCCAGGGTTCAGGTGCGAAACCAAGTCAATGTAGTGCAGAGTCCACGTAAAAGTGGCAAGACATGAAAACAGTAAAGACACAGCCCTCCTGACCTCTCTGCTCTCGCCTGGGCGGCCAGCTGCCTGAGTTGCTGTTCTCTGAGTTCTTCTTCGCGGATTTTCTTCTGCTTTTTAACTTCGTTACGGAGCCTAATCTCCTCCCTCGCCTGACGTTCCGCGATATAGAGGGCTTCGGAAAGAGAAGCAAACTTGTCATTCACTGACACCTGGAACAGACAGCAGCGGAGACATAAATCCGTATTTCCTATAATTCCGTCTCAGCTACTGCTGTTGCATAACGAGAAATTCAATCGGCTGTACATCACCGTATATCGACTGCTACGCTGCCACCTCACGGATGTCGACAAACAAAAACAAGCCAATAAGAAGGGTAAGAAAATTCAAGCGGAGACAACAAGGATACCTCACCACAGTCACGAGAAACACAATCTCAGCAATGTCCGACTCAAGCAATTGTCAGGGCTTGCAAGATAGCGAAAGTAAGACAACGCACCACAGGCATTCAAAAACCGCACACACAAGGTTTAAACAGGCAAAGCAGACCAAGTCAGTTGATCTCTCTACGGAGGAGGACCGAGATGGGCATACACAGGAATCAAAAGGAAAGTTGAATAGATTCGCGCAGTCGTGATAATTGCATGCAGACAAATAAATTGAAAGAGGGCAACTGTGGATCTCACATCTTGCAGGTTCCTGCCGTCTGCAGCAACGCGCTTATCAAGAGGTATGGTATAACCCTTTTGGTTCTTCCAGTTGCTAACGCAAGGGGGAATCTTCCAGTCCTGCTGGTCTTGAAGTGTGAGCTTCCCTGAAGATGAGCACCGCACAACAAGTTAAATGCAAATGAAAATAAGTGCGAATAAGCAAAGGGACAAAAAGGAGAGGCGACGCAATTAGTAGCGAGGAAGACAAAAACCAAACGGGAGCAACAGGCCAAAGTGGGCACAGTCAAATACACAACACAGTCACGCTCGAAATACACACGAGACGCAGACATGGGGCAGCATGCTGCTTCCATTTGCCTTAGCAGCGGCATGAGCACCACACATGCACTAGCAAATGCAGCCGGTGCCGTCGTCAGAAGTAAGTAAAGAATAAGTCGCCCAAAGCGCAGTTAGATTTCTTACTGGTAGGAGAATGCAAGACAGGAGGAGGTGGCGAGAAACGAGCTGCTGGCACTCTCTTGTGTTTAAAACGCGGAGGCTCCAGAGGATCGACAGCTAAATCTTCCAGCCTCAGCAACCGCTGCGCGCAGCCGCTGTTGTGGCCCTCTACCTGTAGACAACAAAACGAGTACACGCACACCGTGATATGAGTAGCATATGCAAAAACTAGAAAAGGAATAATGCGATACGGGACATATCGGTGCGGACAAGACAAACAAACCGCCAGCATACAGCCAGTGGACAGAAAGACAAGTAAACAACAAACAAATGAGAAACACACGAACAAAAAAAAAAACAAACGAACACACAAACAAGCGAAAATGCATGCAAGAAGAAAAGCAAGCAATGGCAAGTAAGCAAACCACACCCTAAGAAACTGTAAACGAAGGAGCCCATGGGCGCGGCGAATGTAAAATCCGCGAATTGATGACTGTGCTGCAGTGCAGGAAGCAGATCTTTACAAGTTCAAATATGCGATATACTGCATGCATTTATGTTACATATACAGGTAGACATGCCGACAGAAGCATACATATACTCGGGCCATTTGCAGATGAAGAAGCCCCAAAAAAACCAGGAAAGATACACACATCTTCACACATGAGCACGTGGCATAAGGTAACGAATCAAATAACATAAACATACGTCCTAAGGCACCACATTATATGGTGTATAAAAAAAGCATGCCTACCGCCTTGGCTGGGGTATATCTGACGAATTCCGCTTCTCTATGCTGCGGCTGGGCTTTGCCTGCGTTGCTTTTCTTTTCGAGTTCTTGCTCGATGGCTTGTTTGGTTCTGAGAAGTTCTTTTTCCTCCTCCTCTCTACTGGGCAATTGGCGAGCGGCCGCCGCTGCCGCTCCTTGCAGCACCACTCCGTTGGCGCTCTCTGGACCGGTGTACACCACCGTCTTTGTGGAGCCATGCCGAACAACTAAGTCGTAAGCCAGGCGACCATCTGCTCCTATTTGCAGAGGCAGGGTCGAGCCCGGTGTGCTGGTCTGGTCACAGAAGCCACAACACGGAAGAGCAGCAAACTTCAACACGTGTGCAGACGGTCCTCTCCATGAACACTCGCAAATGAAAAATCCTTAATACCAGCGACGTTGGTTAGGCAATTTTTTGCTGTATAATAATTGAAACAAATTCGATTTGAAAGATGCTTTTAATTACGGTTCAAAAGACACCCATGAATCGGTTAGTGATGTGTAAACAGCCGCGTGTGCCGAGGGTATCAGTCCTGGTGCCCTGTCTGGTGTTGCTGCATCGGTTTTTCTACAATGACTATCATCTCGTAAACCTGCATTGTTAATTTCGTGCAAAATTCTCACATCCGAACTTTTGCCCATGCCGAGGGGAAACTGCGCGACGAAGATCTCGGGGTAGGCGCCCCCTCCTCCGAAGTCTTCTTCACATCTTGGCACAAATCCCTGGCGGTGAGGGTATGGAGGAATAGCAGTGCTTGTTTTCGCGGTGCTGTTTGACTTGAAAGGGCGGATGGGAGCCGCAGACAACGAATAAGACCCAAGAGAAGCGTCGGACACTAACAGACGCGAGGAGGCGCGTGGTGCCGGCAACCTCCTGCAGCAGAAGAAAGCAAGAAGAGGAATAATATAGTTAATGCATCATGCAACCCATTTCGAAGCGAGAGGAACGGCGCTGCCGCGGTGGTTCTAGATTCCTCCAAGTTGTTCTACATTGGAAGAGGAAATGACTGTGCTGCCTGCTTAGCACGGACAACTACCGTTGCCAAGAGGCACTGCATCGGCATACAGCATGTTGCCACATGAAACATTTTTCTAATAATAAGCTAAAACATAAAAACAGAATAATATGACATGACATGACATATTCATGAGAAGCATTAATGCCAACCAACAAAAACAGCAGCAAGCAGAGGCTTACGTTAGAAAATCTGCCATCTTCGCTTTCCTGTGTTGTTACCTCTTCATCCACTAGCACGTCAACTTTGTTGTTTCCCTTTTCGCAAGTTTGTTCCTCCTTCGAGGTGAACAGCCAAATCCCACACCTAAACCCTACACCCTACAGCCTAAACCCTCGGCAGCAACCCCTTTCGAAGCGAGAGGAGCGGCGCTGCCGCGGTGGTTTTAGATTCCTTCCCTTTGCCTTCAATTGCGGTAAATGTTTCTCTTCAACGACAGAAAAAGGCAGAGAAGAGGTATTCCCTCTCGGATGGGAAGAACTACTGAGAGCCAGGCCCGAGGTGTAGCTTGCTGCGCATGTTCAGGGGAGAAGAAGGATGGTCAGACAGATCTTACGTGTAATGAAGAGCGATAAAAAGGAAAAGTGAGGGAAAATAAGGAAACAATGATGCGAATAAAGCACAAAACTAGGAAAGCAGCCCGCTGCAGGCTACGTTAGCAAACAGCGCCCCTCCCCCACGTCTCGTCTAAGGAAAATGCGACAACGAATAAAGAAAAGCGCAAAACGCTTCTAATTTGTGATATTCAGCAGATTTATAAAATTTTCAATTGAAAAATAATACAACAGTTGGCCCTCCCCCTTGGGCTGCCTACAAACGTACCAGCCCCGACGCTTACAGGGGCTGAGCACAGAACCGTGCGCTACTTGTCACTTAGGAAACTATTAATTTTTAAGCAGAGTAAAAGTGGAATATTGTAAGCTGCACTGCTTAGTATATTTGATACATGAAAGGAGAACATTAAACACTCTCTCGAGGCTTACACCCTGGCTTCCGCCATGTGGCCCGCTGCATGCAGAAGTCGGGCAGGCGGTGTTCTTCAGAGCCGCTACTTTTGCCAGTAAAAACAATCTTAAAATTGTTGCAAATTTGAATTTGTGACCCCAGGTACAAAGGTCCTGACCGTTATTTGGGGGTGCAACGTCCTTCGTGTAGGCGTGCGTGAATACATAGCAGCAAAGAGGGTGCTCGATCTACCAAGAGGGTAGTTGTGGGATTCAATACAGTTAAAATATTTAACATATGAATTGTATCGGGCTGTCAGACGATTTAAGGGTAGTTGTCAAACGCTGTATGAACAACAGCAGCTGGGCTTCTACTAGGGCGAAGCAAGCTCCTTCACACCGTGCTGCAGCTGCAGGCTAGCCTCAAATCCGAAAATATTATATATCTCTTTTTCTGCATTCAACAAGAGTGCAGATAATTGATCAGCCCTTGGTTGGCTCAACACTCAGCGTGCCCCCTCTCTTCATTCGTACGTGTGCGACCAGAGATGCAGACAAACAAAGCTCGAAGAATGCAATTGGTTCCTTAATGAACAAGTTTGTGTTTTTGCGAAGCAGTGATGTGTACATGGAAGTTCAACAGTACAGTGCATGTTCTGTTGTACCAGTATGCGCTAGTTGACTGTTGGGCTCTGCACTTTTCTAGACGCTTGTCGTCTTGCCGCTCTATGTATGCTAGGGTTATCCCGTACTGCACAACAATATTTGGGGGTGGGAGGAACGGAGACAGCAAAACCTGTCAATTGGAAGCTCTCTGTAATGTTGTCAAACTGAGACTTCTTCCTTCAAGTGCATTCTTATGTTTCCCTGCCTTTTACTGAATTGAGTTTCGCACAGAGGTTCCCTCGGTAAGTTTAACACGAGGGAATTTTGCATTTCTTTTCCCGTAAGTAAATGCAGGCGCTGTTAGTACCGGTATGCATTTAAGGCTGGCACTTTCTCACAGCTTCTGTGAGGATAGAATTCAACAATGGCGTTTGGAAGCCGCGTGTCCACATTCCACTCACTGTGCCCATGTAATAAAGTTGCGAAGTGGTGAGGGGCAGGGCCCAGCATCAGTATTTTGAGACCATTTGCCACTTGATCGAGGACTTTGCACATGTTTTTGAGTAGACCTCTAGTCCTAATAGCAACTGGCGGTGCTTATCTACAATGACAGGAATAGACAGGTAAGTTACACCCTCTCCCCGTGGTCACAGATATTGCGACCGCTTTGTATGCTGTGCCAAACATTTATAATGCAAGCTTGGAAAAAGTGAAGAGTGAACTCGAGGCAGATCTGCAGGTGCGGCTTTCCCTTCATTCGACCCTATCCCTGCACCCGTGCACCGGCCTTTGGGTGGGGGCAGGGCACTTCGCTCATCTCCACGTTTTCCCACTGATGCAGGCGAGCGAGTTTTGCTCCCTGGTAACTCAGCTCTTTTATTATGACCGTGATATCCAACTATGTGCCACTGCGTGCCACAAGAGAAGCAGGTGCGCCGTATGGTTGTGGAAGTGGCGTTCTTCTTTCTCATTAGTGAGTATGCATTCTATTAAATCCAGAGGTCGAGCCTACTCCCCCTAAGTTTCGTTATCCGTTCCCAGCCAGATACCGAATGCCCCTTTCCGAGGGGTAGCACTACATTGGACCACTGATTTGTAAATTGCGATTCCGCCTCAGGGGTGGGGTAGCGACCCGTGCTAGTCCTCCCATTAAGAGCCACGCGCCACGAGGAGCCATGACCTTATCAGGTGACCTGGAAGGGCGGACGGGGGGTTTTAACCTCTTACAAACAACTTTCGAGTTGACTAATATAACTCCTGTGCAGCGTAAGACTGTAGCGATCTTACCTCAGGATTGCTTTGAGCTGCACGCAGGAGGGGTATATACCAACGTGTTCCTTAAGAGCAGCTTGCTTACGTCTGCAGTGTCTCGAGCCCTGGGTACAGTTGTATGATTCCTTGTAGCTGCTGGGGGAGAGGATTTGGCCTGTCATTAGCTGCAGCACACAGAGAAGCCCCGGTGCATGCATGGATAACGAAGCCTTCTTAGTTGCATGCGGAAACTTCTTAGACAATTGCTGCACGTTTCTGCTTGTCTTGTGTGCTGGCAACAAACAGAGGTAGAGAAAGCACTCTTGTGGCAGCTGGAGACACATTTGCCAAGCTTTAGCGAAGATTTTCTTCTAACTTTTTTCTTGACAAAGGAAGATCGAAGACTGTCGTCTACGCCTACGACTTCCCTTATATAAGACAACAGCGCTGCTGCCACTGCTAAGTGTTGCATCTTAATGGCAATTAAATAGTTTTATTTAAATATAAATAAAGAATTGTTTAGTGTGCTACAACTCATATTGTATTAACAGTTACTTACCTCGATGAAGGGAAGGGATAGAAAGAGAGTACATAACTACTAATTTAAGGGCGAAGAAAGTTGCCTGGTTAGCATTTATTTAAACAACTTTAATATAAAAATATACAAAAAGTAGTGTAAGAAAGGCAAACAGTAACAGAAACAGCAGCAGTAGCATGCTCCATACAAGAATTGCAGGTGCTGTATATGTCGGCTGCTGCTGCTGCTGTTGCAGCAGCAGCAGCTGCTGGTAGCAGCAAGAAAGTGCATGCGCGTGGCACTCCTTGTTTTGTTATTAAAGACTTTTGCCTTCATATCCGAGTCAAATAGGCCTTATCTGCCTAGACTAGTGACCAACACCAACGACAGCAGCAGCTACAGCAGCAGCTGGAGCAGCTGCGGCCGCTGCTGCTCCCGCTGCTGCTGTGCCATTAGCTTCGTAGCAGCATCACCGCAATGTCTCCTCCTTCCTCGTGGCATGAGGACAGATAAACACCGGTCAGCAGCAAGCTTGGTAGGGACGAGCAGCAGCGCATGCTGGACAGAAGCCGCTGCAGCAGCAGCAACAACAGCAGCAGCAACACCAGCAGCAGCAGCGCTGGCCACATGTATAGGGGCCTCACCAGTTCCAGGGGTAAGAAGGAGTCAAGCAGACGACTCGTAGGAGGAATGGAGTGTCCGTGACTTTACTGTTAGCCGCAACTCGTAACCAGCGGCAGCAGCAGCAGCAGCAGCAGCAGCAGCACGAGTGTGTAGCAGATGGGTGAGATCCTGGACGTGGGGGAGTTGGGGAGCGGCAGTAGCAGCGCATCTCCTGCTGCTGCTCCCCCTTCCTCTGTTGCTGCAACTCCAGTACCACCACCAGCAACAGTAGCGCCGTTAGCACCGTCACCAGCAGCAGCAGCAGCAGCAGCAGGAGATGGAGGAGAGGAGGCCTGGCACTTCGTAGTACAGTCCCTTCATTGTATATTTATTCTTTCTATTAGACCTCGATTTCCTTCCCCCCTCTTCATTCAGGTGTATAGGCAGCTAGGGGGCCTTAGGGAGGCTGTACCCGCTGCTCCTGTGCCTCTATCCTTCCCTCCAGCAGCAGCAACTGCAGCAGCAGCAACAGCAGCAGCAGCAACTACAGCAGTAGCAACTGCAGCAGCGGCAGCAAATGCGGCAGCAGAAGAAGCAAATGACCCTCAAACAACAGGAGGAGGAGAGGGCGCGTCGCCTACAGCAGCAGCAGCAGCAGCAGCAGCACCTGCAACACAGGCAGCAGCAGCAGTAGCAGCAGAGAAGAAGGGGGAAGCAGCAGCATGCTGCTGCCTAGAGACCCTTAGAGGCATAACGAGGGCCCCACACGTCTTCTCTTGGGCAGGAGATGCTGCTGCATGGTTAGACAGTACACCTGCAGCAGCAGCAGCAGCTGCTGCTGCTGCTGGTGGTAATTATGAGGCGCAGCAAGGGGGCACTCCACCATGCCGCCGGCCTGCTGCTGCTGCTGCTGCTGCGCTGCTGCTGCTGGGACACAGCTCCTCTCCCTTGGGGAGCCACACACAGCTGCTGCAGGTGACACTGCAGCAGCAGCAGCAGCAGCAGCAGCAAGAGCAGCAACCACAGCAAGCCGCGCAACTGGAACTTCTGCCTGTGCATGTGCTTGGGGCAGAAGAAAGCAGTAGCAGCAGCAGCAGCAACAGCAACAGCAGCAGCAGCAGCAGCTCAGTTGTGGATGCAAAAGAATTTGTTGGCTGGTCTGCTGTTGCCTGCGGTGGCCACGGGACAGGTTGGTTGGGTGCGTCTGCAGCAGCAGCAGCAAAATCCTCATCATCAGCAGCAGGAGCTGCTGGTGCAACAGCAGAGGGTGCTTCATCATCATCATCAGCAACTGCAGCAGCAGCAGCAGCAGCAGCAGCAGCAGCAGCAGAAATTCTCCTAGGGGGGTCTCCTTGGCTATTTGCCTTTGGAGGGCAAAGCCGCGATGCCTTCGGCCGATGGCGTTTTAATCAGGAGGCTTTCTTGCTGCTGCCTGTACACCGTAGCGTGCTGCGCCCAGCAGCAGCAGCAGCAGCAGCAGCAGAAAAAGGAGCAGGAGGGGAAGCAGAAAGAGCAGCAGAAGGAGCACAGGGAGAAACGGAAGGCACAGCGGCGAACTCTCCTACTTCTGCTTCGCCACGCCACCTTCCCGCTGCTGCTGCCGCTGCTGCTGCTGCTGCTCCAGAAACAACAAGTGCAGCAGCAGCAACTGCAGCAGCAGCAACTCGAGACCCCACAGGAGGAGACAACCAAAGAGGATGGACATGGGTTGGCCTAGGGAGAGATGTAGGCAGCATGCTGCTGCAGCGATCGGGTGCTGCTGCTGCTGCTGTTAGCATCGGCAGCAAGGCGGAGCTGCTGCTGGTGAATGGAGGAACCATCGTTGGAGAGCAGAAGCAGAAGCAGCAGCAACAGCAGCAGCAGCAACTGCAGCGCAGCAGCTCCAAGTTTAATCAGAACATGCAGTGCCTGCTCACCGATACGACTGTGGCGCTGCTGCTGTCGGTACGAAGTGCAGCAGCAGCATCTGCTGCTGCAGCAGATGCAGCAGCAACAACAGCAGATGCAGCAGCAGACGTGCTGCCTCTCCTTGAAACTCAAGAATTACAATTGGTCATGTCAGGACCGCTTCCTGCTGCTCGCATGGGGTGAGGAGCTGCTTCTGCTGCTGCTGCTGCTGCTGTTGCAGCTGTTGCTGCTGCTGCTGCTGCCCGCCTCGGCTGTGGCTGCCTGTTGGTGGTGCTGCTGCTGCACATGTATTCGATGACGTCGCTATGGTGTTGCTTCTTGAATAACCTGTTGCTTCTGCTCGTCTTGGTGGTGGTGCTTGTGCTGCTCATTTTGCTGCTGCTGCTGCTGCTGCTGCTGCTGCTGTTGCTGCTGCTGCTGCTCAGGCATTCTATGACGGCCCTGCGGCGTTGTGGGGGTGGTTGTAGTTTTTTTATATATGGAGGAGTTGGCGGTGAGGGGAAACCCCTTACTGACCTATGGGAACTCCGCCTGTCTATACACCCCGACAGCAGCAGCAGCAGCAGCAGCAGCGGATTGTTCGTGTGTAGGGGACAGTGGCAGCAGCTGACGATAGACAGTGGAGAGATCGAAGGGCCCCTCAGTGATGCAGCACCGCTGCAGCAAGAGAGGAAGCAGCAGCAGCAGAAGAAGAAGAAGAAGAAGAAGAAGCTGCAGCTGCAGCAGACTGTAAAGGCTTCTAGAAGAAGCAGTACTACTGTGACTGCTGACGACAGCAGCAACAGCAGCAGCAGCAGCAGCAGCAGCAGTAGCAGCAAATCTGTTTTGCCGCCTCTTATGTTCCCCTCCCTGGCGGCATTTGAAGCCCACAGCTGTGGCTGCGCAATGCCTTCGCCTCTTCCATTATTGCAGCAGCAGCAGCAGCAGCAGCAGCAGCAGCAACAGCAGCTGGAGGAGGAGCAGCAGATACAGCCCCCCCGCAACAGCACAGCGGCAGGTAACAGCAGCTGTAGCTGCTGCGGCTGCTGCGGTTGCTGCAGCTGCTGCTTACCAGCCAGCGGTGCATCGCCCATGTGTTGCAGCTCGCAGCTGGCGGATGCTCATCGCAGCTGCAGTAGAAGCAGCAGCAGTAGCAGCAGCAGCAGCAGCAGCAGTAACAGCAGCAGCAGCAGCAGCAGCGCTGATGTGGGCCGCTGCGGACCGAGCCACCATTCGGTTCTTTTTATATGTGGAGGATTTAACGTTCCTGCTGCTGCTGCTGCTGTTGTTGCTGCTGCTACTGCTAACGGTCTTGCTGCTGCTGCTGGTGTCAGCAAACGCCGCACTGCTGCGCGGGCGGCTGCGAATACGCCAAGTGCAACAGCAGCACTAGGCGATGCAAGTGCAGCAGCAGCAGCAGCAGCAACAGCAAAGAGCCCTTATAAGGAAGGAAGCGTAGCAAGGAAGGGCTCTGTGTTGCGTCGATGCAGAACTGTGGGGCGAAGAACTCTTATCTGTCTTGGATTTAGGCAGCAGCAGCAGCAGCAGCAACTCCTGTGGATGCAGCAGGTACCGCTGCAGCAGAAGCTGCAGCCGCTGCAGCTGCTGCTGCAGAGGAAGCAAAATCAGCTGCTAAATGAAGACGCCTCCGAAGGCCACGAACAGCAAAACACTGACAGCGCTGCTGCTGCTGCGCAACCACCAGCAGCAGCACAAGCAGCAGCAGCACAAGCAGCAGCAGCAGCAGGTTGTACAGCATCTCCTGACTGCGGTGGAATCCACCTCGACACTGGCCCCACAGCGGGTGCAAGCAGCAATAACAGTAGTAATAGCAGCAGCAGCAGCAGTAGTAGTAGTAGCAGCAGTAGTAGTAGTAGTAGTAGCAGCAGCAGCAGCAGCAGTGACGGCGGAGCCCTTTTGGAGGGGGAAGCAGCAAATTGCGGCGCTGTAAGCAGCAACGACACCAGCAGCGGCGACAGCAGCAGCGGCGACGGCAGCGACGGCGACGGCAGCAGCAGCGACGGCGACGGCAGCAGCAGCGACGGCGACGGCAGCAGCAGCGACGATGCAAGGACAAGTAGCGACGGCAACAGCAGCAACAGGGGCAGCCGCTCCAGCAGCAAGGACAGCCGCTGCAGCAGCAGCAGCAACAGTAGCAGCAACGAAAACAGCAACACCGACGACATCACCACCAACTGTAACAACAGCAGCAGCAGCAGCAACAGCAGCAGCAGCAGCAACAGCAGCAGCAGCAGCAGCATCAGCGCAGCAATGAACAACCATAACAAGAACCAGATTACTATAGGCAACATCAGCAACTCCAGGGGGAGCAGCAGCAGCAGCAGCAGCAGCAGCAGCAGCAAACCAATTACTGCTGCACCATTTGGCCTCTGGTACGCTGGCGACAACAAAGGAGATGGGGAGACAGAGGACGGCGAATTGCCTCCCTCTGCTGCAGACAACCCTCCTTCTGCTGCTGCTGCTGCTGCTGCTGCTGTTACTGCTGCCGCAGCAGCAACCTCAGGAGAGGCTGGGCGCGAAACAACTTCAGCGGCGCCAGCAGCAGCAGCAGCAGCAGAGGGGCAGCACAAGGAGGCTGTGGGCAGCACACACGGAAGCACCGCTGCTGCTGCTACCTTGCCGCGGCCGCAGCAAGAACAGCAACAGCAGCAGCAGCAGCAGCAGAAGCAGCAGCAGCAGCAGCAAGGTGGGGGAGGGCGCATGGCATCTGTTTTAGAGCGGCTTCGGAGGAAGCTGCGCGACAAACCGTCAGGAGCTGCAGCAGCAACAGCAGCAGCAGAAGCAGCAGCAGCAGGTACAGGAGAAGCAGCAACATCAGGTGGCGCAAAGAAGACTGCAGGCAACGCAGCAGCAACCGCAGCAGCAGCAAAAGGCAGGCGTGGAGGGGAGCCTGCTGCAGCATCCACTCTTTTAGAAGCAGCAGCTGGACCCGCAGCAGCAGCAGCAGCAGAAGCCGATGCAGAACCTCTGGACAACGGGAGTGTGGGGTCCTCTTTGCTGCAGCTGCTGCACAGCACGCCTTCTTGGCCCCATGCAGCAGCAGCAGCAGGACCAGGAGCAGCTGCAGCGGGACTCCCTGAATCAGCAATGACGACAACAACAGCAGCAGCAGGAGCAGCAGCAGCAGGAGGAGGAGGAGGCGGTTTAAACAAGAGCAGCACACCAAAGCCTGGAGACCCGCCAGGTGTGCAGCGGAATTCCTCCAGCAGCGGCGGCAGCAGCAACAGCAACAGCAGCAGCAGCAGCAGCAGCAGCACCCGATTGTGTTTTCGGCTACAGAAGAGTCCTGCTGCACTGCAGCACATTCGCCGCTGCAAAGCTTTGCTAGAGAAGGACTTAGAGGAGGGGCAGGAGTTGGTGCTGCCCCCCGAGTGGGAGCGGCAGCTGCAGCAGCTGCAGCAGCGGCAGCAGCAGCAGCAGCAGCAGCAGCCAGTCCAGCGTCCCCCACCACCCCAGTGGGCTTCGGCTTCCAAGACTTCGCAGCAGCGCACCTCGCAGCAACAGCAGCAACAGCAGAAACAGCAACAGCAGCAACATCACAGGCAGACGCAGCAGGCGCAGCAGCTCCAGCAGCAGCAGCGTCAGCAGCAGCAGCAGCTACATCACAGGCAGCTGCAACAGTCGCAGCAGCCTCCGCAGTCCATGCAGCAGCATCAGCTCCAGCAGCAGCAGCTCCAGCAGCAGCTGCTCCTGCACCATTGGCAGCAGCAGCAGCAGCAGGATAATCCTAACCGCCCCCTCTTCCTTGAGATCCCCCCTCCTCCAGGCCTGCAGCAACTGCAGCAGCAGCTGCTGCCACCTCAGCACCCTGCGGCGGCGGCAGCAGCAGTAGCAGCAGCAGCAGCAGCAGCGGCAGAGGGTCACCATCTACCCGTCTCCTCAGCACCAGCAGCAGTGCATGCGGCGGTTGCTGCAGCAGCAGCCGCTGCTGCTGCTGCTGCTGCCTCTGCTGCTCCTCCCGCTGCAAATTGGTGTGGCAACCCTGCACAGCAACAGGAGCAGCAGCTGCAGCAGCAGCAGCAGCAGCAGATGCTGTTTCCCACGCATCAGCCACAGCCACAGCAACAACAGCAACAGGTATTATTCCAAACGCCGCAGCAACAGCAGCAGAAGCAGCAACAGCACGTGGTGCAGCAGCAAAACCATCAGCAACGCCGCCAACAGCAGAGGTTGCTGCAGATGCCGCCGCCGCCGCAGCAGCAGCAACAAACCCATCCCCACCAAGGGCAGCAGCAGCAGCAGCAGCAGCAAGCGCAGCAACATCAGCACCAGCGAATGCAACCGCATCAGCAGCAAATGCAGCAGCAGCAGCAGCGGCAGCAGGTGCAACTGCAACAGCACCGGCCTATGCAGCAGCAGCAGCAGCAGCAACGGGAGGAAGGAGGAGGGAACTCTCAACAGGTGGGACCCCCATGGAGGCGAACGCAGATGCCCCAGTACCCATCTGAGTTGCTGCAGCAGCAGAAGCAGCAGCAGCTTGCTGCTGCTGGTGGAGGAGGATCTGGTGCTGCTGCTGCTCGTGAGCAGCAGCACAGCAGCAACCTGCTGCTTCCAGCACTGCCACCTCCTCCTTCGCTGCTGGCAGCGCTGCAGCAGCAGCGCCACTCCAGCAGCAGCGGTGATACCGTGCAGCAGAAGCAGCAGCAGCAGCAGCAGCAGCAAAAGATGCCACAGAACATGGAGATGCTTCTCCATAAAGGCCGTCAGTTGCTGCTGCAGCTGGCAGCAGACGCGCACGCAGACGGCGACGCCTTCGTAAAGGAGTTTTGCCGCTTCTGGGGCAGCAGCAGCAGCAACAGCAGCAGCAGCAGCAGCAGCAGCAAGGAGAGCAGCTCGCAGGCTGCTGCTGCTGTTCAGTCGGCGCTGCCGCATAGCAGCAAACCCAGCAGATTGGACACCTGCAGCAGCAGCAGCAGACACAGCAGCATCACCACCAGCAGCAGTAGATATAGCAGCAGGAGCAGCTGGAGCAGAAACAGCAGCAGGAGCAGCAAACGGACACGTAGGAGGGACAGCACCAGCCTCAGTAGCGGAAGCAGGCACAGCAGCAACAGCAGCAACAGCAGCAGCGGCAGCAGCAGACGTACAAAGCGGTCTACAACACGATCTGCACGGCGTAAGCGGACTAGCAGGAAGCAACGCCTCTCTGCGAGGAGCAGAAGGCGCAGCAGTAGCAGCAGCAGCAAGAGCAGCAGCAGCAGCAGCAGCCGCAGCAGAAGCAGAAGCAGCAGCAGGCGTACCGTGAGGCGAGCAGCAGCAGGCATAAGGGGCAGCAGAGCCTTGGTCTCTCGGCGGAAGCACCGGCGCCGCAGCAGCGGCGGCAGCAGCAGCAGCAGCAGCAGGCGAAAGGGCAGCAGCAGCAGCAGCAGCAGCAGACGGCATCGTTCAGGAAGGCACCATGGAAGCCACCGCAGCTCGCGTGTTTACAGCAGGCAGCAGCAGCAGCAGCAGCAGCAGCAGCAACAATTTCCGGTGCGGAACAAGCCAGAGGACTCCTTGGTACCGGCCGCACCGCAACAGCAGCAGCAGCATTTGCAACAACAGCAGCAGCTGCAGCAGCAACAGCAGCAGCAGCAGCTTGTGCTGCAGCGGTTGCTGCAGCAGAAGCTCCATCCCCTACCCGAAGGTATGAGGCGTTTGCTTCCCCCACAGGCTGCTGCTCAGCTTGCTGCTGCTTTCCCCTCCTCAGCAGCACTTCCTTCTGCTGCAGTTGCTGCTGCTGTTACTACAGCAGCAGCAACTGCAGCAGCAGCTGCTGCAAGCAGCAGCGTGAATAATGCTTATCCCTCTGGCATCCCATGGAGCTGTCTCCGTCAGAAGCAAGAGCTGCAGCATCAACAACAGCAGCAACCGAAGTCTCCTCACAGCAGCAGCAGCAGCAGCAGCAGCAGCAGGATAGGCCTAAAAAGGGGAAGAAGAAGCCACATAAATTTACGGGGGAGAAATTCATCAAGAGAAGAAAATAAAAGAAGAAAAATTCAAAGACACAG